GTCCGTGCCCTGCAGGCCGCTAGAAACCGTCCGAAGGGCAGAATGAGCCAACAGTGGCGCTTTCATACCCGTCTGTTAATTCTGTTCGAGAGCGCTGGTAAGGTGTGCAGCTGTGCCACAGTATGCTTAGGTGGTTTTTTGGGGTTTTTTTTCCCCCAAGCATTTTAATGGGGTGCCTTACAAGAGGCACTTAAATCCCTCGGTGGCTTAATTGTTGGTTAAAAGATGAGAAACAAAGTGGGAATCGATAGGTTTCACAGCACAGGGAGGGGGAGCGTTAGCAGAGGATTTCCAAAGGGGTCTGTGTTGTAACCTGTCCGTGGCATAAACGTTCTGAAAAAGTAAATGGAGAGCAAGGACATGAAATAGCAAAATCACATTCAAGGTAATAACAAAGCCTTAAAAGGATCTTGTAATACTAAGTGTCCAGGCAATAAAATTATGGAAGTACAGTGTAAATAAGTGCAGAGTGATTCATACATGCAAAAAAACCCTTAATGGTACATATTGATTGATGTATTTATACATGCATGTCACTGTCATTTAGGAAAGGTCTTTGAGCAGTAGATAGTTTGGTGAAAATGTCATGCTTAGCAGTTGTCAAAAAGACAAATAGAAAGTTAGGAATTACCAGGGCAGCAATAAAGAACAAGACAAAAAACCATCACTTCACTGTAGTGGACTGTATTTTCAGTGCCGCGTACACTTCTGATTCCCTGCATCACAGAAAGCATGTTGTGAAGTTGGAGAAAGACTGCTAGGGACAATCGGAGGTATGGAACGGTTTCAGAATAAAGGAAGATCAAATAGACTAGGACTTCCTTCGTCTTGTCAAAGCTGTGCCCTAACATCTTTATTGTGTTTTTCAGAATGATAATAAAGAAAAAGGGAAAAGAAGTTCATGAGGAAACTGCACAAAAAAAGAAAAAGGGGAAAAATAGTGGGAGCCAGACTATCATTAAAATTGAGAAAGATGTTCAAACTGTCATTAAAACTAAGGATGATGACTGGTTTGAGACTAAGGCAAAAACAAAAGGAAGGAAAAAGAAAAGTTTAGAAGAGGATGAATGTTTAGACCAACTAAAATCAAAGAAGAAGAAAAACAAGAAAAAGAAAGTTTGCTCTGAATTTCAGGAAGAAGCACGTTCTGAAAGCTTTGTGAATGTAGAAAGCCATCTGGATTTAGAACCACAAGAAGAATCAGAGGAACCAATTAAAATTATCAAAAAGAAGAAAAAAAAAGACCACCGTCATTCCTTCTTATCGTTGGAGAATAATCAGCGTAGCGAGGTAGGCCTTTCAAATCATCATACAGATGGTACTCAGGAAAATGAATTTCTTTTCAAGAAAAGCAGAAAGAACATCGCTTTGAATTTGGAATGGGATGGCGAAGTAACTAAGGAAAAGAAGACGAGCATTTTTTCTTTAGCGTTAGAGGACTACCACGACAGCGAACAAAAACAATCAAAAAAAGAGCTTAAAAAAAAACACAAAAACACTTCACAAGAAAAAGATGTTACTGGCACAAACCATGGAACAGATATTATCCAGAATGATGGGGAGAGTTATGTGAGGAGAAAGAAGAAGAAGAAGAAAAAAGATAAGCCTGCCTCCTTTTTACCACTGACATGTAGTCAGGACAACGTCTGTGGAGTTTATGATAGCCACATTGCAATAAATGACTTCAGAAAAAGGAAAAGAAAGAACTCCCAGGAGTTTACGTTGCTGAATAAAGAGGAAGAGGATAACATTGAGAACTCTGAAAGTTTCAGAGAGACAACCAAGAAGAAGAAGAAGAAAAGCCAAGATGTTTCCTCTTTAATATGTGAAGATAATCAGGACTACAGGCATAGAGTTCCTGATGAGTCTCTTTCTGCACAGCAAGAAGTTGAGTCTGAAGAAAAAGAGCTTTCTGGAAAAAAACACAGGAAGAATATCAAGGACAATAATGATGTGACCAAGAAGAAAAAGAAAAAGAAGATTCAAAAAGAAGAGGAGGAAACAACTGATTCATTATTTGCTATAAGTGAGGACCGCACATCTAAAAGCAAAAAAATAACGCTACCAGAAAGCAATGAAAAGAACAACGAGAGTGAAACCAAGCTAGCTGAATGTGTCACAGGGGATGTTGTGGATAGGGTATTATGTAATTACAATCATCTGCTCTCTGACAAAAAAACTAAAAAAAGAAAAAAAGTACAACGGGATTCTACTGAAGAACCAGGTTCAAAAGCAAATTTAAAAAAGAAAAAGGTCAAAAGAGAAAACACGGGAAATGAAGCATTGGTAAGTAGGAAATAAGAGGTTATCTTTGCACCCTTCTGCTAAAGAATCAAAAGATTTTTAGGTAGACGCTTTCCTGTTTTGCAAGCTGTTCTGCCTGCTCAGACCCTTAGGTTGCGTTTAGGTCAGCAGAGTGGTGGGCCTCCTGTGGGGTGTGAGAAAGGGCATGAAGGATCAGTCTACTGATTTCAGCTTACAGCAGTGATGACAGACAGAACAGTGGTTTTTAATGCCTACTGCTGTAGTCATCTAGTGTTTCGATTGCAGAAACATAAGATGCATAAATCAGGTATTAGAACTAGTAGCAGGTATTGGCACAAAAACAAAACTATTATCTACAGTCATATAAATTCTCTCCTCTTGCTCCTGCAGTTGCTTTTGTCAAAGTGAGTGGCAATGCTCATATAGGCCAGGATTTTAATACCATGTCATCTACTCTGAGCAGCTAAGAGAATATTGGTATGAGTGCATCTAACTGTGTGTGTTAGACTCTTCCTCCTCAAGATTTTGCTGCTGCTGGAACTGCATAGTGTTCAAAACGAGGGAAATTTAGCCAGAACATACTGTCACTTTGACACAATTTTACAGAAAACCTTAAATATAGACTAGGCCTAAAACATTGGTATATAAATTCTGATAGAAAAATATTAGAGAACAACCTAAACGAAAACTCTCGATAACACAAATTTTTAATGAAAAAAAATCTATGCAAGACAAAAATAAATACATTTGAGAGCTGTGTAAACTAAAATTGAAGGTAACTTGAACTTTGTCCAGACTGATTGGCTGTTAAAGGAAATCCCATCCAAGAGACTATTGCCATTTTTGTGGTGAAATACACGCAGAGAGGAATTGGTGCGATAACAAGGAAAACAGAAATGCTTGTCTGAGGTCTTAAAAAAAAAAAAAAAAAGAAAGAAAAAAGAAAGATTTGAAATACATGGGTTTCTTCTAATTTTCTGAAAATTAGACTATTGTGTTTTTTTCTTTTTTTTTCCAAACTTTCTTCTCCTTCCTCTCTGATAGTCTTAGTGTCACATTTTTAAAGCTAAGCATCTAAAGTTAGCACCTATGTGCATGGCCTATGTTGATGTCATTGGGAGTTAAGCTGTGAGACGCACAGAAATTCAGTGGGCGTCTATTCCTATCCTTAGGTGCTTAAACACCTTTCAGAAAAAGCTGGTTGCAAATCCTTAGAAGCCTGTCTTTATTTCCCACAGGTAATGAGAAACTGAGCTCCAGTTGGTGCTGGTAGAGAACTGTGAATACTTAGTGTATTGAAATAGGCACTAGGTAATAAATCATCACTGAAGATTTTTGTAAGGGAGGGATGGAGCAGGCAGCGGTACTTGCTGCCTCGCTGCTTAATTCTGCAATTGCTAGCTCAGAGCTCCACAGTGTACAGAAGTAAAACCTGCATCCTTCCTAGAGAAGATGCTGGTGTGTAGGTTCCTACCCAGTCTTCCAGGTATGTGGAGAGCTTAAAGAATCCCATCCTTCTCCCCCCCCCCCCCCCACAAGCACCCCCCCACAGCAGGTCCACTGGACATGGTTTAACATTTAAATTACCTTTGAGACTTAGAAATGTTTCCTGAGTCTGTTGGCATTTCATAGTATGTGCTCTGCTTTGTTACACGCTCATTTATGTGGTTTCTTCATGTTCTACAGAAATCTATAAACGTTCTGGGGTCTAGTACTAATAATTAAATATAGATGCCAGTGTATATGAACAGGTTCTTCAGCTTTCCTAGAGACATAGAAACAGGCTTTCTCCAGAAAGGTTTGTGTTGGGAGCGTGTATGCTTATCAGTAAGTGAGCAGATGCTTGGGCTTCTTTACTTAGGTTTTTCCTTTTGACCTTTTCAAAGGACAAGGTGGTTTTATTGCTGGGGTATAATTTCTAATTAAATTGACATTGCCATGTTGAGACCGTTAGACATTATGTGGATTCCTGCAGCTGCTCACGTATGTGTGAAATGTGTGTAAGCCTTAGAATGACAAGTACAGTTGCATGGTGGTGGTGACCAATTGTGATGGAAAACGCAGCAAGTGCCTTGCAAACAACTGAGGAGAAGGGGGTAGGGTGATGCATGTTTTGTTTCTTTTCTCCATGTTCAGCTCTGTATGTAAATAATAAAAGCTACTTCAGAGAGGTTCTCAAGATTTAACTTCTGGGTAATCGGTTCTGAAGAAATCTAGTTCTTGCTAGGCCAAGTGACATTACTGGAATAAATTGCTGATAACGTCAGTCTGGTATTTATTGGTGTCGCAGCCCTGAAACGTTTTCCAGTCTACAGTGTGTCTCAAGCATTGCTGCATTCCTTTAAAAATCCTCTCCTGGGCCTCTGCAGCAAGCAAAGTAGTGAGTTTTTATAGACAATGTGGAGTGATATTCACTTGATATCAAAGATTCACATTTGTCTCATTGGATGTCATTACTCAGCAGAGTAAGGAGGAGATTGAAATAATCCAGAGAAAGCAAAAAGATAGCTAGTACAAAACATACAAAATCATAGCTCTGAGATTGTCGTATGGCAATGTATAGAAATTTTGGGGAAAAATTAATGTACCTGAGAACTGACTGCACTGACAATGAATTTGTTAGGTGTGAAAAGTAATCTTCCTGCAGTCACTACGTAGTA